GCTAACGTACGAAACCAGAGGGCAGCACAGGATGCGATCGCACGATCCTGCCAGTGAGCAATCTCCCAACTCATCTCTGTAGTTACAGATTAATATTTTTGAAAAAATTGAATAAATTTAAACCAGTGAGAAATGAATACATATAGTTATTAGGTGTAGTTTAAACAAATATACAAAATTACATTTTATAATGAATAAAAACTAACATATTTACCAATTGCCGCTAAACCGGAATTAAAGTGCACAGGGTGAAGGTTAGGGTCATCAACCATTATTTCTGAAATTTTAAAAGTTCTTAATATTAACATTGTTATTGACACTAGACTAAATATTAATTCCTTAATATTATTTGAATACAAATCGTTATATCAAATTACCGGCATTCTATTTACCTAATTTCGTACGGTAATTCATGTATCCGTTTTGCTCTGTACTGTTGTATTTCTTTATTGTAAGATTGTGCCTATTTTCTTACACAAATATGTGAAAAGATTAGAACAATAAATGCTCAACTTTCTTACAACTTTATAAATAAGAATAAAAGAGTGCACGAATTTGGGGAATAGTCAATCGCAGTCTATTATATGGAGAAACAAGCGCAACTAGTTCGGAAGTTTCAACAATTTTCAGGTTAGGAGACCAGTTTTGATCGTTCTGATGTTCACAATCAAGACGAAATGTTTACTTGCGAAGCAAATTCTTTTTTGCCCAAAAACAAATTACTTACGCATTGTTTAACGCATAACATTAGAAAATTACCGTCAAAATTTACCAACACAAATAAGGTTATATGCAATACAATTTATAATTGAGAACAAATTTTATTCTTTGTACTATATGCTAAATTAATTCAGTACTAATAACATTGAATTAATTATTTAACGTGTTTTAGACTGTCTGTATGATAAAATATAGTTGAAAGAATTGTTTTTTATGAAACTATATTTCATTTGTTTGCAATGAATTTTTTAGGGAGCATAGAAGCAAATGAAGAAAATGGCAAGATGCAGTAATCAAAGGGAAGAAGTGATCTTGAGCTACTATGATTACTTAATACGGCAGAGAGATGTGGACCTTTTGCAAGGGCCACGTTGGCTTAACGATACCATTCTGGGATTTTACTTTGAGTATCTTAACAGAACTTCATCATCGAAGGATATATTTTTTATCAGCCCTGAATTAACCCAATTACTTAAGATGACTGGACCCGAGGATTACAGTGCCTTCTTAGATCCACTTGACATCAGTCAATGCAAAATTTTATGTTTTGCTTTGAACGACTGTTCCAGCAAAGATAGTGTTGGTGGTTCTCATTGGAGTCTATTGGTCTTTTCTCGTCGAGAAGAAAAGTGTTTCCATTTCGATTCATCTAAGGGAATGAACCAAAGAATTGCTCGGTTGTTTTCCAAAAAGATCATACGTTACAGTCTCGACAAAGAAGCAGACAATTATGTGGAAAGCGACTGTCCACAACAAGATAATGGCTACGATTGTGGATTATTTGTTCTGTGCTTTGCAGATCTTATTTCCAAATCGCATTCGGTAAATCACTTGGACTATACAGAATTCAAGGATTCAGTAAAAACAAAACGAAGCAAGCTTTTCGATTTAATAAATTCACTGAGACATAAGGAGCTTGGATAAATGAAATTTGTGGCACATTTAATGCATGGTATGTTTAATTAATATAAAATTCGGATGTATATCGTTACAATAAATTCAGTTTAAGATGAATAGTCTTTTACTATACCAAGCATGCTATAGTTGAATCACTAGAAAGGAACGTCGTGGATAGAATTTAAGAATCCAGGAATGCAATTGTTCAGATTGTTTATTTCGTAGATCAATTCACGAACCCGAGTGGATCGACACTGTTATGCGACTTAGTAACCTACGAATTATCGTCGCATTGTATCCCAAGATTGTCATACATGTACTCAATGGTCAACGATTCCATGATTTGTTCTCACAATATTAGCGCTCCAGTATTTTTCTTAACACGAACGATGCACCTCGCCGAAATAAAATCGATTTCGTGTGTAAAGAAATTCGAGAGACGAAGGTCATCGTTCTCACAGCTTTCTTTATTCGTTATTACCATTACTTATACGTATGTACACAATGAATTGTTTATAACCATCCCGTCCTACCACTGGCTACTAGTAACAAACCATTATAGAAATAATATTCTTCCCACACATTCGTTCGTTCAGAAATCCAAATGAATAAAGCCAGTCATCGATGAAGCTGCAGCCTTTCGAGTAAAAATGTTCCTAGTCGCATCTCTCATCGGACCTAGTACACCATCGATCGTTTAAAAACGGTATAAAAAAGAACCGTTGTTTCATAAAAAATGGAACATCGCGAGGTTCTATCATTGTGCGTTTTCTTTGTACGATACGTCGGAATGAAAGTTTAAAATCTTCGAGCAAAAAATACATCATCGACCGTACCCCCGAGAGGTCACTCAGGGAGCAGCTATAACAATGTCGGCCCCGTTCCGGAGGAGAGAGCGGTGATCGGGACGACCTGGCGGCAGTTAATAGTGATAACAACAAAGAAATAATAGTGAGATGTTTCTCGAGTATCGCAGATATAGGATTTATTTCCGTATAATAATTAGAAAATATAATTAAGCCGAGCTAAATTATGATGTTCATGTACTTGTGAGACAGGTGTATATAACAGACGTAGTAGTTTGCCATCTTTCGCCACCCAATCGGCGCCGAGGCGAACGGAGGATCGGAAACGTCGGAGGGCGTGGCTGGGTAGTGGGAGGCCGGTGTCGCCTTTCCTCCGAAACTCCTTTCGGTGGAAGAGACGCCAGAGCAGCCACTTGGAGACGAGGAAGGACCGGTAAGCGGGTCGGCCGCCGAGCGGAGGCGTTGGTGGCGACCCGAGGTGCGTCCTGGCTCGGTCGCCGTAACCGTGCGAGGAAAGAGAGCAAACTACCCCGACTACTATACGCCGGCATCCACCCGGGAGCTCGCGTACGCGGAAACTAGTTATTTCTTTTTCTGGGCCTTCTCGGCGGCCTTGGTGAGCTTGCCCGTCGCGTCTTTGAAGGTGACCGCTTTGATTACACCGACAGCCACCGTTTGACGCATGTCACGCACCGCGAATCGTCCCAGGGGTGGGAACTCCTGGAAGGACTCCACGCACATGGGCTTGGTGGGCACAAGGGTCACGATGGCGGCGTCGCCGGTCTTGATGGACTTCGGGTTGACTTCGGTACTCTTTCCCGTACGACGGTCGCACTTTTCCTTGATCTCGGCGAACTTGCAAGCAATGTGGGCCGTGTGACAATCCAACACGGGCGTGTACCCGTCCTGAATTTGGCCAGGGTGGTTTAATACGATTACCTGAAACACGAACAGAAAGGAATGTTAACATCGATCTTGATATATATGCTTAGTCTAGTTTCAAAAAAGAAACCGGATAGTTTTAGTCACCTGTGCAGTGAAGTCAGCGGCTCCCCTGGGGGGATTGTTTTTCGAATCACCAGCTACGTATCCTCGACGCAGATCCTTAACGGCAACGTTTTTCACGTTGAAACCTACGTTGTCACCGGGAACGGCCTCCACCAAGGCCTCGTGATGCATCTCGACCGACTTCACTTCGGTGGTCAGGGCAGCAGGGGCAAACGTAACCACCATACCGGGTTTCAGAACGCCAGTCTCCACACGACCTACCGGTACCGTTCCGATACCGCCGATCTTGTACACGTCCTAAAAGGATAAACATAGTGTTTATAATGCTGACCGAGAGGAAGGTTTCAGGGGAAATATTTAAAATTTAGAATCAGACGCATTAAGCTATCAGCGAACTCGAAGGTTCTCCAGTGGAAACCACGAATGAAAAAAATTTGTATCATCATTCAGAACAGAAATTCCTTTCTTAAACCATTATTTTATCGATGTAAGATCGAAAGAGTTTCACCTGGAGAGGAAGACGCAGAGGCTTGTCGGTAGGCCTGGTAGGGGGCAAGATAGCATCGAGGGCTTCGATGAGGCACTTGCCCTCCGTCTTGCCTTCCTTTCGTTCCACGGTCCATCCCTTGAACCAAGGCATCTTGGAAGAGGATTCCAACATGTTATCTCCGTGCCATCCTGAGATCGGTACAAACGCTACAGCAGCAGGGTTGTAACCGATTTTCTTAATGTATGACGACACTTCCTTCTTAATTTCCTCGAATCGAGTTTCCGAGTATGGGGGCTCGGTGGAGTCCATTTTATTGACACCAACGATCAGCTGCTTGACGCCAAGGGTAAACGCGAGCAGAGCGTGCTCACGAGTCTGTCCATTCTTGGAGATACCGGCTTCAAACTCGCCGGTACCTGCGGCGACAATGAGTACAGCGCAGTCAGCTTGTGAGGTTCCAGTAATCATGTTTTTAATAAAGTCTCTGTGTCCAGGCGCATCGATAATAGTGACATAGTATTTAGCCGTTTCAAACTTCCACAAGGCAATGTCAATAGTAATACCACGTTCACGCTCAGCCTTGAGCTTGTCCAATACCCACGCATACTTGAAGGAACCTTTGCCCATCTGTAAGTTAAAAACAAAACTTAGGAAATAGTTTCAAAGGTAATCTATTGTCCAACTGTTATCAGACAGATGTTATACATTTTTATAAAATTCACTGAAAAGTGGCCGTCATAACTATTGATCACAATTCCCATATTCACGACAAGTTACAATTTATCGAGCAACAGGAAAAAATTAATATTTTTACTCACTTCCTGAGCCTCCTTCTCGAACTTTTCGATGGTACGCTTGTCGATACCACCACATTTGTAGATCAGATGTCCAGTAGTGGTGGACTTTCCTGAATCTACGTGTCCAATGACGACGATGTTAATATGAATCTTTTCCTTTCCCATGGTGAATGCCTGGTGATATTACTCTGGTCTAACCTGAAACAAAGAATCCACCTAATTAGGTACAAAACATCACATTCCGTTAGCAGCTGTGGTTGGAAAAAAAACCGACTGCCCATAATGTACTACTTTCCCGAGCCGAACTTATCACGCTTATGCGACCTTCAAAGGTCGCTCGACCGTTCACCTGGTGGAAACCGGCAAGATTATACGGTCAATTGTTCAATATCCACGTGGCAATTTAAGAATATTCGAGAAAGTTACCGCGGCAGCCATTTTGTACACGACGAGCGCGCTACGATCTCACCGCGACAGGTTACGTGTATCGCGATCTGTGAGATATCGGTATCTAGGATGACTCAATACACAATGAACCGAGATGAATGCGAGGTTTTCTACACTAGATCGGCTGTTCCATCCAGATCTTTATTTCCGTCGGCTTTTCGGAACGGTTCACCCCTCATCGCGCCGTAAGGAACAAAGGAACCACATCGCGGCGACCAACCGTTTCCCACGCAGAAGAAACCGTGTAATTAATTCAATTTTGACTCCGTTATATTCCAAGTGCATTCGTTGCACCATACGGAAGACAACGACGTGTATTCCCCCAGGACTTTGCGCGATCACGGGACCACAATTTTTACGACTGTCAGGTTAGGTTTCACTAGGCATTCGCGTTCTTCCCCGGTGCACTTGCACTCGAGCACTTTGGTCGTCGCGATATTCCTGGACATCTTCCGATCCCAAGTCCACCTCGGCTCCTAACTTGCCGATCTTAACCGACACTCGAAGTTGAAAATTCTAAGAAATCCTTTCAGAGCGATCGACACCATCTTGTGGATGGCCCGTTGACCGGGAGCAACACTGCGAGTTCTTGACAATTTCCACGTCCGCCATACTGGATCGCGAGGTCCTTGACTTCGATTTTCGAGCGTTTCTCGGCCCAGCCTAGCGGCAAAGAGGGTAGCTTACGTTAGCGCGAAGGATCGTCTTTTATTTGTCCGCTATGGCTGTTCTTTTTCTCCCGTCAGGCGAAATTGACACGCGGTCGGCTGTGGCGGCCGGCGCGGCGCGGCGCGGCGCGGCGCGGCACGGCGATACGAGGCCGCACCATGCGCTCGAGTTTCCAGTCTCGATTTTCACCCCGAAACTCCGAGATTTTCTCGAACGTTTGGCACATCACTATTCCTTGATATTTCCCGAACCGTTATTTTCTCTACCTGAGGCCCGATGCTATCTCCTTGGGCAGTCAATTTTCGGATTATCTTCCTGTGCAGAAACACGTACGACCACTCACCTCCAGATGCCACGACAGAAAGAGATCGTCCGAGCGAAGTGACATGCGCATACGGCTTCCCGGCTGTAGACTCGCACCCAGTGTACCCTGCATATCGATCACGAGAAGTGACCGCGGTATTTGAAGAGCTGTTCTTTTAATCGCAATATTGCCTTTAAAGGGCGCAGACGGACATAAAGTCGACGACAAGGACGATTTTTACGTTTATTGTAAACCGAAATTCGATGTTTCGAACGTTGACGAACGGTTTCAGAATCTTGCATTTCGATATCGGGGTGTTTGGGTTCGAGGCTACGGTTACACGGCGACAGGCGTGTCGACGAGGTATTCCTATTCGAGGGACGTTCCTGACTGTTCGCCTCATTCGGTGCCCCTTCTACGTCTACTCAGAGACCTCTCCGTCTCTCTCTTACTCGCGCGACTTCCGATCCTGGTGCGACAGAGAGACCTTACTTGACTACCTTTTCCTAAAGGATTCGTTTTCCACGCGTGAAATATAAAAGATTGTATATACTAATATATATTATTCTATAAAGAATTTCATTGGCGAAATTTGGTAGTAACTCGGAGGATCAAAAAAGGACGTAGCCTTTTCCGCTTTCCCCTACCCCGCCTCTGAAGTGAAATAAAGAGACGAATGGCTATCTCGCGCAGAGAAAATGGGAGAGGGCTCACGCCATGTTAGAATCGCGGTTTCCAGAGTCGATGAGATAACCTGTGGATTCATTTTAAAATTAACACTGTTATGGACTTAGATCATTCAGAATGAGCGTAAAAGTATCACAGAAGTGCATGACGTATCCTCTGGAATATTTCTGAGAATTATTAAACACTAAGACGGTTCGGATAAGAAGTGGAACCTGATCTCGTTGTAACAGTTTTCGGAACCGTTTCATCACATCTCGTTGGACCGCTCTTGTCCTCGCGTACAGTTAAGCACGTCTGCGTAGAAGCTGCGCGCAGGCTGTCTGGAAATTATACGCGAGCTCCTGTGGCAAGTTCACCCACCTTGGCCGTCTATCTCTGCTCTCTGCAGCTTGATGCAATTCAAGCCGTGAATTGTTGCAGGCTCATCTCACGTTTACTCAAGCCTGTTGCTGCTCCAGTTTTACCTATCGGTGCTTTATTGAATGCAATCGGCTTGTACGGAGAGGAAGCATTGGCTCGTCAGCGTTTCGGGTTTTCGAGGTCGCCCGAGATTACAGGTTCAATGTCATGACCCTGAATCAAGGAACTTGGTAGAGTTTCGCGCCAATTACTAATCCATGCATACTGCTCACGGCAAGAAATACTAATGCAGACATCAATCATAAGACTGCCAAACAGTGCACTGCCAATCATATCACGTGAAATTACTGAATTTTCAATTCTGTTATTTTTTTTTACTAGCGACTTGATCCGACTTCGCACGGGAGTAATTTTGAATTGATTGCCAATTATTATTATTTTTTTTTTTAATCGAATGTATTGTTTAGATATATACTTAACGGTTTAAGTAACGTTAGCCAAAAAGATTCTCGCAAGGACGCTTTTTTGTTGACTTCCTTCACTAAAATCGTTATTGCCCGGTCTCTTTTTATCACAGGTTAGTGTACCATTGAAATAAATTTTTTCCTTGAGTGATGCTCTGCAGAATAATGATAACCGCATAGGAATTCATGTAGCGGTTCTCGAAATTACCCCGAATCATTTATACGTACCTGGAGCATTTATGCAAGGACCATTTCTACTTAGATATTTCTTGTACTGGGTACAGTTAGACAAATCTTAGGGAATACGCTCTCGTCCGTTGTGAAAATGTTTTCTCGTGTTGCAAAACGCGACTATTAGAAGAGGGGAAGAGGAAGAGTTACTAGGAATGGCAACAATAGACCCTCGGGGACGGTTTGAATGTCGCCGTAAAACGGGTTTGCGAGCCGCCTTCACCAGTGCGGAAACCTATTATAATGTTGGCTGCAACTTTATTTTTATTCCAAGCCATTCATAATCATCGGGAGGGGAAGAACTTGCCAGATAGATTCCACTCTCACCATGAATTGTCTTGAGGGTTTCTACAAGGGACATTGTTGAAATTGATTCGCCGTCAAGATGGCTGAAATGGACGGTAACGATAGATAATCTTTAACCATTTTCACTTACTTTCTTCTCTCTCGAAGATGAGCAATATTTTTCCCAAAATTTGCAGATATTACAACATTTGGAACTTTCTACGAGGAAACACTACTTGAAATGTTTCTTAAGTGTTTCTGCTCGAGAAGGCACATTTTTCGGTATCGCAACAAAATTACCGTTGTGGCCGGACTGGTCGGTCAGTGACAATGGAATTCTCGGGTCGTAAATCCTGGAGTACGGAATTTTCAACGCGGTATACTCTGCAGAAGTATATCATGCACTTCCTCGCGGTGGAAATTCCTGGAAAGTTTATTCCTTCAGGTTAGAATTGGTCCATTTACGGTCGAGCTAAATATCCACGATTCACATTCCCTCCGTTAATTAATCACCGCATGTTCCGACGTTAAACTCATTCTTTCAAGTGTATTAAATTTTGTCGAATTGCGTTTCCACGTACCAGTACTTACCCTATTCCACCGTTTCCAGACTTCGATCCACACTTTTCCAGCGAATTGTTGAGCTCGTACCAAGATTTCGAGATTCTGAGTTGGGACCTCCTCGAGGGTCGGATTACCCTAATGGACCAAAAATACACGAGAAAAGGGGCGAGTGAGACTTACTTTACAAGTAGCCGTAAGAAAGCTTTACCTTAAGCTCTTGACCTTTCTCAGTCCCTTTTTGACTTCATTCCCAAATTTGCTGCAGTCGAAATATTCAACAATGATCACGTAGATAAGGAAATAACTAACCAGGTCATTCTAGAAACGTACCAAACGGACCAGTTCTCATTGCACCGGAAGAAACGGTCAGTTATGTCTTTATGTTTAATCATCGTTTATCATGAGATATTTTAATAAACTTTCTTATCTGAGTCCTTATGCGTTCCAAATGGGAGGCAATTCGAGCCAGCGAGACTGCTCCTCCACGAAATTCTCCCCCCTCGTCGTCGTGCCTGTACAATCTTTATGCGGGAGAATCATAATTATTATCTCGTCTTTTATACATATTTGTATTATCATTCATATTTACAAAAGGTCTTTCATTAAATGTTAATATTCAATATCGTAATTCATTAATATATTATAATTTTATTCCTGAGTGACCATTCATGTAAGAGCCTTATCGAGAGCGCTTAATCAATTCGCTCCCCCTCTCTCACTCTCTCATTCTCTCTTTTTTCCTTTCTCTCTCTCCCTCTCTTTCATAGGCACGACTGCACCTGAAGGTACCGTTGTGTCCGTTTTATCGGTAGCGTTAACTTTATAACTAACTACTAGAAGGGTCCAAAATTTCGACGGAAACAAGTGAAATTATCGTATCTGCAAAGGGGACAGAGAAGAAGACACGAGTAGGATTGAGACGCACAATGAGTGTTATTTCAAAAAAAGGAGCACGAAAGAACGGCCTTCGTCCTAGCCGGAAGTAAGGTCGGTCACTTCGTCGACTCGCCGATGATAAATCGATTATCTGGTAAATTTGATTCCTAGCCTAGGCACAACGCTTCGTACGTTTTCGATACACGCTGAATCTTCCATACGCCGATTGGTCGCAAAATTCGACGGACGAGCAGAATCCCAAAAACATCTGAACCGAAGATCGATCGAATTCAAGTGTACCCCTTAATTGGACTTTTAACAAAAACCGGCAGAGTCAACAGCCCAGTAAATAAATTATGGAAATAATTCCAATATCTAAAACGCATTCTTGGTAGTCTGTAATTGGCACATTAATATTCCATTTCTTTTTACGGGTGTTGGATTTAAGGAACATCATTTTATGGAATGAGGTTCATGCAAATGTGGCCTGTTCATAGGCGTGGGAAGTATTTCGGAAAAAAAGAAGGGAAGATATATAAGAGCTAACGGGAAATCGATCGACCCTTGTAATACTTGGATGTACGCGGTACGCTCCGACACGGGCTCGTTATTGGATCCCTTGGAACGGGACTTGCGGCATTACGATATTACGAGATAACGAAATAACGAAATTTAATTCGACACTTTCTCGACGAGAGAGCTATCCGCCCTGGAAACGTCTCGCACGTTTGCGTCCGCCGAATAAAACGTACCGGGTGCTGTGCCTTTCTTTAACGGGGCTCTTCCTTAGGTACAAGCTACAGACATAATCCTCGTGATTCCTTTCGCGGCGTAAGACTCGTTACGATAAACTATACGTATTAAGTACAGGTATTGGTAGTTCGTTAAAATGCCTACACGTTATTACTTAAATCTCTTGATATGGAATGCGGTAGTGCTTGGAATTCGGGAGTCGCTAAAAAGTGCGCGCGATAACACGCAGCTGATTTAAGTCGCGCCCTGGCTCTAACTGCGGGACTGCCTTGTCTTTCTCTTAATTTTTTTTTTCTTCTTCATCTTTGGCTTGACACGATTTGGCTAATCGTTTAGGATGGCTAGAGACTCAGAACCTCTCCGAGTACGATGGAGGCCTGGCTCGTTTTGGCTGATTCTCTCCCTTTAGTAGGACAAATATTTCGGAATGATTTTCTTACCGTACTTGAACTCCCGTTGAAATTGGAATATTGAACGTTTTTTAGAAATTTTCAGTCGGGTTTTAATAATTTTTTTCGAGCTCATATGGTGGTTCAAATCTGATTAATCTGGAATAATTGCCGAGGTGGTATATGATTAATACCGAATTTTGGAATTTCCGGGAATTTCTGTAAATCATTGCATTTCCGGGATCAAGCATCGAAATGTGTCCGGAATAATTTCGAGGCCGTTCAGAAAATCCATTTCTCCTGTTCCGAAAGATTTGCCGACAAAGGCGATTTTTGCTTGGCTTTCGAGTTGCCTCTATCGATCTCGATTCTTTTGAACCAGTCGGTCATTTAATTCGATCTTAAATATCCGGTAGATGTGGCACTTTCGTTCATGTAATCGC